TGAAAGTTCGAATTGGAGCTCTTATAGGTCGATTATGGAGCTCTTATAGGTCGATTACGGAGATCGATTACGATAAGAAATTGAAAGTTCGAATTGGAGCTCTTACAGGTTGATTACGGAGATCGATTACAGAGAGAGAGCGAGAGAGAGGCACCATAATTTGAAGACGATGAGCTCCCAATCTGCCTTGGAGCTCTCAACTTTAGGGCTGAAGATTGAGCAACCCGTTGAAGAGGAGGGAATGAGCAAGTTGTGACTGAAGTGTAGCCCCGACTTTTTAATCGTTAAAATGATAAAAATATTTCGTCCCAAAATGTTTTTAACGGACAATGACGGAAATATTTGGTCCCTAAAGATATTAACAACATATTAGCAACCAAATTTATTGGTCTAAAAAAATTATGTAAATAGTAAGTGAGAGTATTAATATTCATTTTTACAATCTTATATGTAAATTATCATGTTTTTAAAATTGTTCCTAAAAGATTATTTTTAGCGACCAAATTTAATTAGTCCTTAAATATTGGTCTCTAAAAGGCTAATTCCTTGTAGTGACTTTTGTTACCCAAATTGTAACTTGAAAGCGGTTGAATTTAGTTTTCACTGAATGGCGCTATTTTCTATTATCTTCACATATTACATAGCTGAAATATTGTCTTGGTTTATCCAGTTGTTTGGAAATGTGCTTGCTGAATTTTGGGTGGCTGACCTCTATTTTCATAGAGTTCTCCAATTTATTTTTCCTACTACACATTTTTGTAAATGTCGGATTACTGACTCTATTATAAGTTTTTTAAGTTCCCTGTGTTGTGATAATAATGTCATTCAGGTGTCCTATATTGTTGTAATTTTCCTTGAATTAGACACTATCAGGAGAAATTCAGGCTACTGGTGTTAAGGTTCAGCACAGTTTAGTTGCTGTTGTTCCTGATTTGCATGAAGATTTACATGATGAAATATATGATCGTGAAGATCATCCAAGCGGGGACAATGATACTCTTGTTGAGGAGATTATGCAGGTTGACTTCACCAAACTCATAGAGAGGCAGAAAAAAATGTTCGAGTTAAGGCTAAAGACGGTAAGAGTGAATCAGTATTTGCCCTCATCTTTACCAGATCAGTTGTCTGACAACTAAATTAGCCTCATTTGTTACATTGGCCTCATTTGGGAAGTGGTTATTTTAGTAGGCTATTTTAGTTTTTAACTATTTTAAGTAGGCTAAAATTTTTGGATTTGGGAAGATGATTGGATTTTTTTGTGGTTGGATGTGATGTTTGTGAGAGAAAAATTGAAATGATTATGGGTTTAATGTGATATTTTGTCTTATTAGCTATTTTAGCCTATTTTGTCTTTTTGTGATTTTTAGCCTAAATTTGGCTATTTTTTTTCTTCCCAAACACCCCAATTATTTTTATCTTCTTGTCATTATCATTTTCCTAATCCCATATAGGTCTTTGGTTCTCTGCATGCAGAATGAGGCTAGAAAAGCCAATCAAACTGCCATGGTGGCGGAGAAGAAGAGAATGGAAGCTCCGCCAGAGTCTAAGGGTGTTTCTAAAGAAAAGTGGATTGAGGAGAGGAAGAAAAAAATTGGCAAGCTTTTGGATGCGAATGGTTTGGATATGACTAAGGCATATATGCTAGTCAATAAGGGTTAAAAAGAACCTGCTCCATTTGGTTGGGATGGTATGATTAGTTCTTTTTGGTTATGTAATTATATATTTCACGTTGTGTGTCATGTGTAACTTAATTCATTTTCTTAAATATTATTTGCACATACATTTTCAACTTTGGAATGCATCTAAACTCAACAAAAGTCTTTGTCCCAATTACTTGGGGTTAACTATAGGGATCCATTTCCACCAATTGCTTCTATTTGCAGTCCTATCAATTTGTGTCTGGGAGATTGGGAACAGAATGTTATTCTTCCCTGAACTGCATGAACTTTGATTAACTCATTGCTTACTTGCACGAGCAGTATGACGAACCGTATCTTCTTGGAAGAGGACTTTTTTGTTGGTCGGATAAAATGAAAGAATAATTGTTGTTACATGGTCAAATAAACAGCATAATACAGTGTTGAATAATTGGTATAGTACATATCTTAGTATATGTCTGCATTCTCATGGGTTAAATTTCCCTCAAGTTTCCTAAACTGTTACAGTGTATGGTTGAGATTTTGGCAAGTCACATCAGAAACATTGATGTGACTTGCCAGTAATCTCCAACCATAACTGTAGTACTTTTAGGAACCTTAGGGAAATCACTCTAGAGGATCCTTGCTCAATTTGCATCAGGATTATTTAATACTATTACTATTAATCTTGTGAAATCAAACGATGACTATGAGTCTTAACATAATTTTATAGTGAGACTAATAATATAATAAAATTATTTAAATAAATTTAAGAATTTTGGTAAAGGTCTTTTTTGGTTTTAGGGGCTAACTATTAATAAAATGCAAATAAGATAAAATATTAATAAGACACAAATAATTATGTCAAATTCATAAATTATTACTTTTTTTTTCTACAACATTATATGTTAATTACAAAAAATTATCTTCTCAATATAAAATTTTAACCTATTAAAATAATTAACAACCTATTAAATAATAACTTCAACCAACACCCATCAGGGTTTAGTTTACAGATGATCTAAATTAAAAATAATCTCTTTTCGCTTTTTTAAAATATAAATTAGATATGAGTTAAATTTTAAAATGATCAAATAAAAAATTATATGATTAATAAAATAATTTAATTTTTAATAAAATAATAATTTTTAATTTTTTTTTAAGTAGAACAAAATAAGAACTTTAATAATTTTTGTGTGTGACTCCCTCCTCACCAGTCCCACCAAAGCAGTGGGTGCTGAAAATCGCTGCGCACATGGACAGGTGTTTGACTCCTTTACGACTACAAGACAAACAATTGAAGTTACCCCTCCAAAACCCCCAAAGCCCGAAAAAAAACAAACAACAATGCTAATCAACCCAACACCCACGTTAACCCTTGGCACCCAACCTCTCTCTTGTGGAGAGTCACACCGGCACTGACATTTGCATGTTTTTTTTTTAGGCTTTGGAAGTTTATACAACTTTTACTTGTAATTAGTGAAGAATGATAAGATATTACATAATTAATTAGTATATTAATATTATTATGATATTATTATTAATTTTTATTTTGTTATTAAATTATAAATACTAATTTTTTTAAAATATATCACAATCATTAATTAATAATACTATTAATCATATAATATTATTCCTATGAAAATTAAATTATTTATAAAAGAAGAGGAAGACGCAATTTAAACTTTTACTATTTAATTATTATTTTTTCAACTGTTAGAAATTATACTAAACAAAATTGTAATTTTCTGAAAAGTACTAAAAATATACTGTGAGAAGTGGAGTGAAAATTTATGAGGTATTTTCCATAATAAAACAAAATAACATTACTTAGGTATGTACTCTCATAAAAAAAAAAAAAAAAAAAAAACCCACTATGTGTGTTTTAAATCACATATTTGAATATTAAAAAAATGAAATATTATATTTTTCTTTTTCTTTTAAAATGTGTCTTCTTTTAACTATCTAACGACCTAAACAAAAAAAAATTTTGAATCAATAGTCTCCACTCAATTTTTTTATACTAACGGTAGGGCAGGGGGGGGGTGGGGGTCCGCTTATCCTGGTGCCTCGCAAAAGCCAAAGAGGTAAAAAGAATAATATGCATCAGTCTCGTCTTTTAACCAAAGTTGATTACTTTTCTTTGGGAGCTATTATTCAATGTATTGTGGTTTGAATTTAATTTTTTTTAAATTTAATTTTTTTATTTTTTATTTTAGTAAATATTTTTAAAATGTTAAACAATTCTTTTATTTTACTTTTTTAAAACACTACTTAAATATATCTAAATATAAAATTTTGTAAAAAAAATATTTAAAAATTAATAAAATCAATAAAAATAATGAAAATAATTAAATTTTTTGTATTTTTTTTCCACTTTGATATTTAAGTGAATTTTTAATATCTTTTATTTATAAATATTGATACTTTTAGTGTATTTATATTAGGTGTATCTAAAAATTTAAAAATACTTAAAAATATTAAAACTTTAGTGAAAATATAAACACAAAAAATAAAAAAATAAAATTTTGTGAAAATAAATTTAAAATTGGAAACTAAACAGAATGATTTAATAACACAGTTGCAGAGAGAGTAGGTTTTACAGGTCTAAATGGGCTTGAAAACAAAAGTGTAGTATAGGGGAATCCAATGCTGAAACTGAAAGATGAACTAAAGATAGTGTATTTTGTGTGCTCTTCTACCAAAACTACCTGTGGGTTTTTGGTGGTGGTCCCTCAACATACTTACCTTCTATCTTAAACCTTCGACTATTAGAAAGCAACCCATTTTCCACTAGAAAAAATATTACTAAGGTGTCGTTTTGGGAAGAGTTCATTTAGCATTCTTTTGGTCCCTGTGAGTCACAAAAGGATAGAATAGGCTATTTGCTAACAACAGATAAAACATCACATCCAATCCATAGTCATTACACTCCTCTCAAAAAAAGATCAAAATTTCAAAAAAGCTCTTCTCAAACCAAACTTTTGAGTCCAGGCTAAATAGCCAAAAAGAAAGCCCGAAAAAAACTAAAGAAGTTAACCCACCTTCCCAAACGGGGTGCTAAATGTATCTGAAAGCTGCTTCCACATTTGTTTTCTAATTTTCGAAAACATCCTTAAAAACAATGAAAATGGAGAAAGAAGAAAAGACAAACCAAACAGACCCTCCTTCCCTTACCTGTGGGCCAAGGCTCAAATCCATTATATACGCTGGAAACAGAGAAAAATATTGAGCCCAGATTAGGGTTTTATAACATGCCAATACAAGCCATCTATTTTATAAGATAATGTACATTACAACAAAATATTCCATCAAGTTGACGCGTCAGCATTTGAAATATCTATCCTCATTTCTCTATAGCATTAATCAGTGCTAACCGCTTAGAGCCTATTGATTGACAGGATTAGAGGATTAATAGTGGTTTTGCAAAAAACTCACATACTCTCATTCTAATATTTTTATGTATTACCAATCTCATTTATAAAATTCCATTGGTAATTATCAATCCCCATCCCACAAAAATCACTTGAGCAACGTGTCCTTAGAGCTCAAGCAGTTCCAAACAAAGCAACTTCTATAGGCCAACAACACACAACCCAACCACTTTGAATGACAAACTATGGTATTTGGTTTCACTAGACATTCCAAAGGTCAACAAGAGAACAACTCATGACAGCATACAACACCATCGTTGCCACTCACCAGAAGAAAATCAGATTGTGCGCTGTGATTGGTTTCCTCCCTGTTCCTTTCAAAATGGAAGAGAGATTTTGGGAAGCAGCAGCCTGTTTTCTCTCCTTTTAGAGTATAACTGCTTGGTTACAGAAGTATAAACCTGCAAAAAGAAAAGAAAAGATTGTAAAAAAGGCTCCTCAAGTACCTTAGTCAGGTGAAGAGCGGTCCTCCGTCAAGGTTATTCTTGATCTCGCAGCCGTGTAATCTCCCAAAGGCTTACCACCATCCTTTCAATCTTGTCTCGCAACTTTTGGTGCCGTGCCCAAAACACTGAGCTAGAATTCTTTTGTTCTGTTTCACTTTCTCTAACAGGTGAACCATTTTAGCAGAACACATAATTTCCTCAATTAAAACGCTTACCTTTCATATTGGAGGTCTGAGCTTCTCTGTACAGAATTCTGGCATCACTTCTTTCATTTTTAATTGTACTCTTCGATGTCAATCTCAATGTTCTTTGACCGTTTCTTTGTATTGCATTGTCAGTGTTTTCTGATTAAAAAACATGTTCAAGCAAGGCCAATGTATTCTCAGTCATACATGATGAAGATTATCAAAGTATCAATTTGTTGAATGGTTAAAAAGAAGTTGGGGAAAAAAAAAAGAGTATTTTAAGCTTGCCTTTATATTGGGAGATTAAAGAAGTTTTCACAAATAGTCTGATTTCCAGCCTTCCAAGCCAGACAAGTATATGTAAATTAGCTGTG